GAAAACTAACTATACAAAAAGGAAAGCAATCTACTCTTCAACCGCAAAATTGATACTTTCTCCCCCAAACTACCCACATCAAAGTCAATAAGACCAAGTCTCAAGCCTTCCATCTTCAACTCCCAATGCCACCTCACAATGGATAAAGAGATGGCTAACCAATTTCTCATCATGTTTATACATACAACACCAATTAACATGCACCTGCGTTCTGCTAATCAAATTGTCAAAGCACCACATCACAAATAGGAAACTTCGAGGAACTATCATTTTTATTTCAACTTGCTTTGGAAATTCATAAAGGTGAACACCTGAGGATTCTAGACAGTATTATATTTCATACACCTCTCTTTAAAAAAAAAAATATAAGCAATGCTCTCCAATACTAGAAATGACTTTTGCTTGGGACATGGAAACTTGATCTTTTACATGTATATTTCTTTTTCTCCATTAATGAAACCATGTTTGAATTTTGATGGTCCAATTTGGCCAGTATGTAAAAATAAAAGGTCTGAGCTTACCTTCAATTTGTAGATATGCAATCCACATTGACTGAAGAGCTCCTTGAAGTATAAGTCTGACCTGGTAACGCTCTTATCTTCTTTATCCAACACAAATCCTAGAAAACATGTGATATGTAGTTTAGCAGGTATTCATATTTTAAAACCTCCAGTACTGCCTAGTGTATAAGCAAGGCTAGGCAAAAATGAAATTGAATCAAATCCACTTTTATCTACTAAAAGAATGCTCAATGTGGTAAAATATTAATTGGCCAATAAAACTCCAAAAAGGAGATGATTTGAGTAGCAATCAACCAAGAGAAGTGGAAAACTTGTTTGAATGATCCTCCTCAAGGCTGCTGCTAGTAGTTGTGGTAGTAGTAGCAGTAATAATAGCAATAATAACATGATAATAATTAACAAATTAGACCTTATTTTCTTAGGATCGTACACAATTTTAGAATCATTTACACTCATGATTAATAAAATTGAGTAATTTGACAATATCTAACAATTTTTAATTCATAACAACATTGATTTTTTCCTTTTTTAATTTACATATATATTTAAATAGATTTCAATTCATTTTTTCAAGCATTTTTTATTCAAATTCTTTTTGTCACCTTCAAAAAGGTTCCGAAACTTTTCCTAAATGTTTCTGTTTTTGTGAATGGAATGACATACTGAGAAGTAATTCAATCCTACCTAGGAGTCTATGTGAAGTTCCATATTTGCTATTCTTCTTCTTTCCATACTCGTCATCATCAGTATGTGTACTTAGTTTGGTTTTATTTAATCATTAAATTTTCGAACCTCAAGACTTAAGCATTCACAGGATACTTGGGATTTCAAATTGCTTTCAGACATCATCAGTATTTGACTGTTGTCAGCTATTGTGCTAGATAGTTGAGGTCAGCCTGATTCCTCTTAATTTCCCCCAAAACAAGAGAAAGAACCATCCTTACATGCAAAATATGAATAAACATTCAACCATACCATAAGTTTATCTCATTTTCTCCAATTTCAATATCATATTTACAATAGATGTCTAGGCATACATTTCTCCTACTTAAATTTCAAGTCAACAATGTTACAAGTGTAGAGATACAGAAGCTTTTAAACCTTGCACTAAAAAGAAAAAAAAAAAAGAAGGGCTTTTAAGTCCTGAGTTGACTATACATTTCTTTTTATTTTTCCTTTATTTTAATAGGAGGCCACTAGTTCAGTGGTACCCATCTACCCCTCCCAAACCCCCCATCTAATGGGTACTAAACTGGGTATACTTTTTATTTTTCCCTTAATTTGATTTGGGCATCACATCTCTTTTGTCAATTCTTTCATTTGATTGTCTCTTGGTTGATAC